GGAGGAAGTGTGAGTAGTCGACTCAACTAATCTTTTACACCTCTAGTTCATACATTAGCAATCCAAGGAATTTTAGGAGACACCTTGTATGTGAGCCAGCCTAATGGCAATACCTTAACAGCAGTATGTGATCTGCCTTGGAGAATCCGGTAAACAGGAGAAGCCAAAGCCCAGATAGCTAGCAATTACTCTATAGGAAAGGCAAAACAGGCCAAAGTTGACATTCATTTGGCTAAGGAATGTACTGTATATGGAGGGCATAAGCATGGGAACTGTACTTACATTTCCTGGGCAGCATGGGATGTAGTTTAGAACTGCCATTCATGAACCAATAGCCATGTTTGTGGCTAATATCCAAGGCCCTGTGTACTAGGAGATTGTGTAGCTGCATAATTTTCTGCTTTGTAAGGCTGCCACAGAAAGATGTCAGGAGCTTAGCAGCTGGGGAACCAGAAAGCAACTGAAGATGCCAAAAAATACAGGCAACAGAAAGAAGCACTTGCTCCAGCAGAATTTAAGAACTCTCCAGGAGAGACATTTGCTCCCCAACTGCAGTGCTTCCTCAGTACTCCAAGAAAGGTTAAATAAAAAGCTCATCCAATTGGAGTTAGGACTGGCTCCTTTCCTGTGTGAGTGGAATTCCACAGGGATCAGTTCTGGGTCTAGTTCTGTTCAGTGTCTTCATCAATGATTTAGATAACGGCATAGAGAGTACGCTTATAAAGTTTGCAGATAATACCAAGCTGGGAGGGGTTGCAAGTGCTTTGGAGGGAAGGATTAATATTCAAAATGTTTTGTACAAACTAGAGAAATGTTCTGAGGTAAATAGGATGAAATTCAATAAGGACAAATGTAAAGTACTTTGCTTAGAAAAGAACAGTAAGTAGCACACATACAAAATGGGAAGTGACTGCTTGAGAAGAAGTACTATGGAAAGGGATTTATGGGCCATAGTGGACCACAAGCTAAATATTAGTCAACAGTGTAATGTTGTTGAAAAAAAAGCAAATATTACTCTGGAATGTATTGGCAGGAATGTTGTAAGTAAGATGCGAGAAAAATTTTTTGCCTTCTGCTCTGGAGTACTGTGTCTAGTTCTGGGCACTACATTTCAGAACAGATTTGGGAAAATTGAAAAAAGTTCAGAGAAGCGCAACAAGAATGATTAAAGATATAGAAAACACGACCTATGAAGGAATATTGAAAGAACTGTGGTTTGTTTAGTCTGTTTCAAGGAGGAGGTAAAAATATATTTTCCTCAACCTTTAATGACAGGACAAGAAGCAATGGTAATAAATTGCAGCCAGGGAGGTTTAGGTTGGACCTACTGGTGTAAAATCTTGATTAATCAGTTAACCGGTTAAACATTAGGTTAATGTAATATTTAACTGGTTAACCAACTAAGCAGGATCCCAGGCAGTGAACCGCTCCAGCCTAGCAAGAGCAGCCCCGAACCCAAAGGCCTTTACCTCCTGGGCCCAGCCGGTACGGTAAGCATCACACGGTTAACCAGTTAAACATTAAATTCACATATCTAGTTGGACATTAGAAAAAAAATCTTCCTGTCAGGAGGTTTAAACACTGGAATAAATTACCTAAGGTGTTTGTGGAATCTCCATTATTGGAAATTTTTAAGAACAGAACAGGCCCCGAACCCAAAGGCCTTTACCTCCTGGGCCCAGCCGGTACGGTAAGCATCACACGGTTAACCAGTTAAACATTAAATTCACATATCTAGTTGGACATTAGAAAAAAAATCTTCCTGTCAGGAGGTTTAAACACTGGAATAAATTACCTAAGGTGTTTGTGGAATCTCCATTATTGGAAATTTTTAAGAACAGAACAGGTTAGAAAAATACCTGCCCAGGATGGTCTACATCAAACTTTAGCAATCTTAGGACCCCCATTTTGATTTAATTTTTTTGCAGATCCTCCAAGGCAGCTTTTACGTTTCCCGGGGGGGGGGGGGCTCAACTCCCAATCAGCCCCAGGTCCTGGACTGCACTCCACCCAATCTGCCAAGAGCCCACTTCCACCCCACCACTTCCCCACCCCTGCTCCACTCCTGCCCCTCTTCCTGCCTCCACCCATGAGTGTGCCCCCTCCCATTTCCTCCCAGCATGTCCTGCACTCTAATGACTAGCTGATCTAAAGTGTGCAGAAGGCACTCAGAGGGCGGGAGACAAGTTTTCAGCTCCAGACATGACTCATTGACCCCAGTTTGAAACTGCTGACACAGAGCTTGTGTCAGTGTAGTTAGTGCAGTATCCATATAGATATTGTGTTATTTACATTGACTAGTGGCTGTCAATTTCATAGCCACAGCAACTGAAAGAGTCCTCCCTGATCACAGCCAGCCTGCTACCCACTGCCCAGACTCCCTGATCAGAGTGGGGCTGTCCTGTGGTCCCAAGATTCCCAATCTCTGCAGGGAGTAGAGAGGCAAGAGGGAGGGAAAGTGAGGCTAGTTCCCAGCAGGGAACAAGAAACAGAGAGCTAAGGAGGGGAGAACAGCCAGTGCGATGGAGGAAGCCCAGCAGATAGCAGTGAGTAGAGCCAAGGCCTCTTCGCCTTCTTAGGTTGGTATAAGTTATCTTAGTGAGGACTAGGGATGTAAGCGACTAGTCAACTAGTCCCTCAACAAGTCGCTCCCACCCCCGCTGACTCTATCAAAGGCACCTAGAAGGGGAGCAGGAGCCTGTGCTGGGAGGAACTGGCTTAAAAATCAGTCCCCCTCAGCACCATCTCCGCAGGGAACAGGGAAATAGTGGTGACCAAGCATGACCAGTTAAATATTACATTCTCAGCTCACACCCAGTCCCAGATGCTGCATCTCTGCTTTTTAAATGTATTAAGAGCCAGCAGGAGAGGGGGGCAGGCCTGGCGAGAGCTGGGAATCAGCTGGCCCAGCTCACACTGAGTCCTCTTTGCTGCGCTTTAAGCTTTTTAAATGTATTAAGAGCCAGTGGGCTCCCCCAGTCTGAGAAACCCATCACCCACGTACATACCTTTAGTCCTGCCTTGAGTGCAGAGGACTGGGTCAGATAACCTTTTGAGAGAACCCTCCAGACCTACACTTCTCTGATTCAATAATAACTCTTTGTCCTACTGCTATTGGGTTTTGTTCTCTAGGGCTTGGAGTCATATGTGGAATTCTGAACAAGCACAGAGGAAGTTAGTGCAGAAGTTCATGAATTCTCAGATTAACCAGCTGCCTGTGTTTCCTATCCTTCCCATCATTGATACAGTTTTTCTTAACACTATCTACCTTTAGTCATCTGTCCATATTTCACTGTTTTGTACAGATGTATAGTGCCATTTACAAAACCGGGGGGGAAAAAGTTCTGAGCTCAGTTGCTTGGCTAATGAACCCACACTGTACATCAGCATCTGTATTCTTATTGACAAGCAGTCCTGTGGCACATTAGAGATTAACAAATATATTACAGTAATTACTCATTTAACACGTCCCCACTTAACACGTTTTTGCAATATCATGATTTTTTTTAGGGAACTTTTTCGAATAACACGACCATCCCCGAAATAACACGAAAATAATCAAGTGTCAGACTACTTTGCACAGTGGTATAAGCTGATGAAAACAGTGGTAATACACACAAGCAGATGAACACACACGTGGTCACAGCGCTCCTCCGCTCCCTCACGTGTTTATCTTTGTGTTTTTACAAGCTGCGGCGACTTGTGTTGCTAGATATCTAATGTTGACGTTCACGACTGAACACCAACAAAAAACTGACTTTGCCACCACTATCTGAAACGCAACCCCCACATTTTCCATTATTTTTAATGGGAAAATTGACCCTGCATAGCATGTTTTCGCTTAGCACAAACATTTTCAGAAATGCATCTATAGTGTTAAATGAGAAATTACTGTATATCATGAGCTTTCATGGGTAAAACACTTACTGGTGCATCTTAAAGTAAATTAACTACCATATTTTATATAACAATTTCTCACAGAGTATTAAAATTTCATCTTAGTAGCCTATTATGAAATTGAGATAAAATAACTAGTACATAAAATCCACCATTACACAATTTCCCATATGAATTGGGGCGGGAGGGAGGGAAAGGCATTCATCTTAAATGCTCATGCTGGGTCCGGACCACTGCACCTCTGCTTCCCCTACCTCTTCCCACTGCGGAGACGGTTCTGGGAGGAACCGACTTTTAAGCTAGCTCATCCCAGCACCAGCTCCTGCTTCCCCCTACGGTTGCTGCCTCTGATATAGAGGTGGGGGGAGGGGAAACACAAATAGTCCACTGATCGACTCTTTGACATCCCTAATTGTAAATTCCTCAACATAGTGACTATTCTATGTCTGTATGGTGCCTTGTGCCAGTCAAACCTAGCTGGGACATGCAAGAACTCAAGAATATAAATAAATAAAAAACTAACAAGAGATACAGAACACTAGTTATTGACTAAAAGAGCCAAAGATTGCTGACCACGGTCTTAGCCACTCTTTTTCCTAGATTATTAAGCACCTTAGCAAGCAGCTGTTGTGTTAAATGTGAAAGTGGGCAGCGGTCAGAGTTAAGGTTAACTACTGCATGGGCACATTCTGTGCTCAGGAAAAACACCAACCATCAGCTGTGTGGGAGAAGGTTACAGGAGGCTCTAATTTCCTTGGCTAGCATCAGCTCTCCTCCAGACCGACCAGGGAGCAACAGCCTCGCCTAGGGTCGCCAGCTGTGGCTGCATGAATTCCTGGAGGTTTCCTCACGTGACTTTATCTTTAATTAAAGATGAATATTTAAATCCTGGGGAGTCCAGGACAATCCTGCAGGGTTGCAAGCCACGCCCACCCGCGCAGGCACCCCCCCGACACAGCGCTCCCCGCACCCAACTGCCCCTCCCCACCAACACCGCCCCGCAGAGGGTAGTAGCCGCCAGCCAAGGTGTTCCCCTCCGAGTCACCCCCAGGCCCCGCACGTCTCCCTCCTAAGAGTCTGCTCGCCTCTCCCCTCACGCGCACCTGGAACTCCAGCCCATAGATCACTGGCGCGGCGTCCTCCATGGCCTCCCCACGGCTGCCCCCGCAACAGCCGGCGCTTCTCACTCAAGCGTTACTCCCTAGCCCGGCGCCTTTCTGAGCCCCTGCGGCATCCG